CGAGGTTTTAGGGGACCAGCAGGGCAGGGTGAATAGCGTGAACCAGGTTGATGAAGACTCAGATATGGCACCTGTCAGCTCTGTTGGGGGATGGTTCAGCAAAGGAACAATGGCTTCTGACAGCACTTCTGTTTGGGATAAAACTGCCTCTCCAAATCTTATCCCAAAGCCAGACAATTCAGTTCCTCCCTGTATGTCCCTGGTGCCCCAGGCCTGGAGCTAGTGAGTCTGAGTAAGCCTGTGTGGGGGCCCTTTAAACGGAACACAGGGGACTCCAGCAGCCCTCTGTCCACTCAGCAACAATCCCTACTGGTCTTTACAGCCAGAAGTTATGAGGACTTCTCTTCCTGGTACTGGAACCCTGGCTGGAGGCCTGGTATAGGCCGGGACCCCGGGATCCTCAGCGGGGACCTCTGCAGCCGAGATATCCCTCTGGATTTTTATCCATCACACGTGGGTGTGGGACCACGTTTCCGCCCCTCCTAACAGTTTCAGTGGCTTCTTTTTTATATCTTTAGTTAAACGGCTTCTGTTCAGCGATTCCAGGTGTTTCTGAGTGATGGTTGTTCTGTCGGTTAGTTGTAAGTTTGATGTGGTTGTGGGAGGATGCAAGTATTCCATTTACCTACACCACCATCTTGACCCTTTTAACAGGTCTTTTATGGAACAGAAGTTTTTAATTTTGATGAAAACGAATTTATCTATATCTTTATGGGTCTTAATTTTTTGCTGCTGTTGTTAATCCTTACCCAAGGATACTTTTTCTATTAATTTTTAGAGAGAGTGGAAGGAGGGTAGAAAGAAAGAAAGAGAGAGAGAAATACTGATGCGAGAGAGACACATCGATTGGTTGCCTCTGCATGTGCCCCAAGCCCCAACCAGGGCTGGGTATCAAACCGGCAACCCAGGTATGTGCCCTTGACCGAGAATTGAACCCATGATCCTTTGGCCCACGGGCCAATGCTCTAACCACTGAGCAACACTGGCTAGAGCTGGAGACATTTTTGATGTCACAACCAGGGCGGAGGTGCTACTGGCATCCAGTGGGTAGAGGTAGGGGATGCTGCTAAACATCCTGCAATACACAGGAGAGGCCCGCACAGCAAAGAACTATCCAGCCACAAATGTCAATAGTGCTGAGGCTGAGAAACCCTGCTTTGCAGTGGATTTTGTCACAACACTGTAACAGTTGTGTTGTTTTTGGTTACTAATACAACATAGTAATCGAAATAAAATACCTGGAGACCAATCTGTAGAGTGAGTGTCATGGATTAGAAATTGATTAACAAAACACATTTACTTTAAAAGCGTTATGGTATATTTAAGCAATTTTCTTTTTGAAAAGGCAAAAAAATCCCTTCATATTAATACCAGTTTTTTGGTGCAACTTTAAAATATTTGTTGAACTTTCCCTCTATATTTTTTCTTGTTATGGTTGAAGTAACTTTGCACTCATTTCTGAGAGAGAAGCAGGACCCTTTCACTGTTGAATCTGCCTTTTCTTCCCTAGCGGTTTCTCTAGAGTTTCAATTGCAAAACCGAAGGTCATCCATCACTTCTTTTCTTTAAATGAAAGCTCTCTTTTCTTTTTGGTTGCCTGCAATAGGTTTTTATAGTTGACAAATATAAGCAGCTGCCTTGCTTGCAGGATTGTCCCCAGAGGCTCTTTATAGACTCTCCCAGTCTTTTTTCATCTCAGAAGAATCTTCTTTCCAAATTTAATTATGTATGATTTCTATGCCTTTTTCTCTCCTGTCTGTTTAGCATTCTGCTGCTCGTAGATGAGAATGCTGCCCTATTTCTGGTCTATTGTCACCACGTGCATTATTGTCAGTGGTTTCTGAAATTCATTTGTGTCTGGGATGTGCTACGCTAACATTTTCTCTCCACTCACAACCGAGTGTCATTATTTAAATTCCCTTCCTTGTGACACCTGAGAACATGTTAAAGTCTTTCAGATTTAGCATTCTGAAAGGAATTAGAAAATTCTGAGCTGTTTCCGTATGAGTCTTCATTTCCATGACAGCCTTCGGGGTGGATATCATTCTCTGCATCCTTTTGTTTGTGATGCTTATGGTTTTTCAGTTTATTCTAAAAAGACATTCTTGTCAGCCACTGGTAGGTAACACACATCTCTTATTCTTTCCTGTGCAAAACTTATAAATTAGGTTTGAGTATCCATCTTTATTGATTTCAGAGAGAGGAAGGGAGAGGGAGAGAGAGAGATGGGAACATCAATGATGAGAGTCATTGACCGGCTGCCTCCTGCACGCCANAGAGAGGAAGGGAGAGGGAGAGAGAGAGATGGGAGCATCAATGATGAGAGTCATTGACCGGCTGCCTCCTGCACGCCGCCTGCTGGGGATCGAGCCCACAACCCGGGCATGTGCCCTGACCGGGAATCGAACCCCGATTGCCTGGATCCTAGGTCAATGTTCAACCGATGAGCCACACCGGCCAGGCTTGAGCATCCTTTCTCTGAATTTTGCTCATTGTTATTTTCTTTCCTTTCTGGTTTTTGTTGAGATTCTTTGTTTTGAAGTTTTCATGGTAGCAAGAAAGCGGAGTTGTTAAGAGGTCTGGAACCAGACTTCAGAGTCTGGGTGTGAATCCCGGCTCTACCACTGGCCAGCTATGTGACCTTGGATAAGTAACTAAACTCCTCTGGGCCTCGCTGTGAAAAGGGGAAAATAGTTCCTGCCTTTAGAAATGTTGTGAGCATTAAGTTAGCTACTATATGTGGGGTGCAGAGAACAGGGTCAGCACTGTGTAAGTCAATACTAGTTATCGCTATGGATTTCGTAGGGAGGTGTTCCCACACTCTGCATCTTCCAACTTTTCCTAAAGGACCAACTAATGAATGAACGGAGCAGTTGAAGCTGACATTAATCAACATAGAAGCCTGGTGTGAGAACCAGTTGTATTTTTAACACTTCCAAATGAGGACTGCTATTTTCCAAAGCTTAACATAAAAATTTCATTGAATCATTGTAATTATGCGAAGTGGTAGGAATACATTTTGAGGTCTCATGGAGTGTTGTTTGACTAAGGATCTGAACAAAAACTATATATACTAAAAAAAAATTCAGTGGTCAATAGGCATCTGAAACTATCTCTGACTTTTCAGCTAATCAAAGTATGAACATTTAAACAACAACAAGACAACCAATTCTATGTATTACATCACTATGAAAAGTGATGGTAACTGATAAGGGGAAGATGGAATGGAACACACCCGTGCACAGCTGGTGAAGCTTTACTTTTAAAGCTTTGTGTGTAAAAAAGCCTTAAAATTTTTCCTACTCTTTGGATCTATAATTCCATATCTAGGAATCTACTCTAAAGAAATAATGCAAAATTAGGGTATTAATTACAAAGATATTCACAGCACTATGTGTAATAGTGGAGAATTAAAAACTGCCTAATAAACATTATAGAGCTTATGTCGTAAGACTCATGGGACTTACGAAGTACTGCTATGACCCTCTGATAGTACTTGGTGAGGGAAAGAAATTTTAAATTGCTGTGTAATTTATGCTTATATTAAGATATAAAATTATACGATGTAACTCTATATTTAAATTCTTAGGGAAAAGACAAAGGAAATATAATTGTTAACAATGTTTTAAAATGTTAATAACAGTTAACAATGTTTGCTTTTCATTTGTAGGATTATAGGTGATTTTTCTCTTGCTTTTAAAAAAAAAGTATTTTGTATTTCCATACATTCTAAAAAGAGGACACCCCCTCCCCTTTGTAATTGGATTGGAGGAAGAAGAAATTTGCCAGATAGTGGTAGAATTTTTGAAATGCAGAGGAGGGTGAGCATGAAATTGATAACAGTCTAGGATCAGGGTGAACCAGTCCAGGTCTCCCATCTGCCAGTGACAACCAGGACAGTCTGAGTGGGTACCTAACCTTTGCAGGAAAGTAGAAAATACTTTTAAAAGCATGACTTGCTACATAAAGGTAAGCTATGACAACTAAGTTAGTATGATTGAATACCTAAAATATTGTTAATGGCAGTATAAATGAGGGTTCTAATTTTATTATTTTCTATGATAATTAAAATGAACAAAGTGAAGAGGAAAAAAAAGATTCCCATGCTCTCTCTTGGCAGAGGCTTTGAGGTAGACCACTTGCTGGTCCAACAGGCATCTGCATTTTGGGCAAAGACTTTTCATCCAACAGTCTCCTTAAATAGTCGGTCACCCACATCAGAGAAGCCAGAGAGCTCATTGTAATACGCTGCTTGGGATGGGATATTGTAACTGCCACTTGCACCTGTCACTGTTCTAGTCATTAAAAGGGGCAAAACCACCAGCAACAACTTCTAATGAAGGAACCTATCAACAACAATGAATTCCAATAAGAAAGCATTTCTTCTTTAGAGAGTTTTTTATAAATCAAGTTGGTTCACAGCCATGTTTTTCGGCATAATGACTACTTTCTGGAGGGTAAAAAGGAAATTTGAGAGGTTGTGTGCCATGATTTTATCAGGAGTCTGGCAGAATGAAACTTTAATTAGCTTTGCTGCCTCCTTTTGGGCTAGGGCCCTATCTGTAGCTTCCATATGGGGCAGGGATTTCCACCCTCAGCATCTGTAAATGATGCCTCAAGGAGGCACATGGAAAAGATCCTGTTCCGTTGGGGTTGCTCACTGTGACTGTGGCCAAAAGATTCTTTCCAGTTACCCACCCAGATAGACTTTGTGGCAGCTTAGAAGCCTGGGTGTCGACGTGATAAATTATAAAATATTGAATTTCTATGTGTCTATGTGATTTCAGCTTTAATCTTCGTTTTTGATTATGCAATTAATCACGTCCACGTCTGGGTGCTCTGGAGGCAGATACTCTCCCATTATTTTAGTCCTAAATACTTTATCCAATTTAAAAGGAATCCACAGTGTGAAACTTTAGCCTAGAAAAGTCAACATTCACTCTGCCAAAAAATAAAAGGAGCACACTGAACAACCGAGTTCCTACTTTATGATATTTCAGGAGTTTGATCAAGACGATGACTGCAGTCCTTCCATCTTGGTTACCGAAGGAGGAGATTGGAGCGGCGATGGACGAGATTGGCAACCCAGGACAGAAGGTATCTCGGATAATGTGGGTTATTTGGGTTTCTCCCTCATTTCAGAAGTGCTCCATGCAGAACTTTGGAAACACAGAAAAGCACAAAGAGAATGAAAAGCCATTCATAATTCTACCCTTTGGTCCACTCGAATTAGCGAGTCTTGTCCACTTGCTTTGTCAAAGCGAGCATCCCTCGGGTGTCCCTTCTCCTTGTTCTACCCCACGCCATCTCAGCCAGCCATTTTCTGCCCCTTTCCTTTTATTTGGTAATATTTCTCCCGCCCCTGCCCGCCCCATGTCTTTCCTCACAGAATCCTCCATCAGCAACAAGGATCTGTTCCCTTTCATTTGGCCATCCGCTGCTGTCCCAGAGCTCCCGCCTTGAGGGGAAGATGGGGGACTGAACAAGGCCGTAAAGCTCCAAGTCTCAGTCTTTTATTCTATGAGGCCATAAGTCTGGAATTTTCCAGAACAATGACCCATTCCAAATATGTTGCCCTGTCATATCTATAAGTGTCCTTGCGTTGAACAGACCACGAAGTATTTGCAAATTTTCACTTGAGAAAATAGTCACCATAGCATCACATTTGTCTATCCCAATCACCTATAAACTTCTTAAATTAAATGTTTATTCAAACTGCTGCAGTTTCTCTCTGGCAGTTTCCGGCTTCCATTTCTAACACTGCCGGGAAGCCGCCCCCTTGGATGTCTTTTTCCTCTCGTCCTGGGACCCTCCCTCCCTGCAGCAGCGCTAGTCAAGCTGCGGTGTCTCCTCCGGCCCCTTATGCAATGCTGCCCTCTGCTGGGCAGCCTTCTCAGCCTCACTCGGAATCTCCTTTCCCCAGGCTGCAAATAATTTAGCAACATTTAAAATTACTCACACCAGGAACCCTGAAAGGCCTAATAAAAATAAACAAATCCTGGTCCCCTTCCAAGCAGTCCTTGAGGTGGGCCTTTGACTTTCAAAGATTCAAAGCCAAGTTCTCAGATGCCTAGTTGTATCCCAATCACCTTCCAAGTGGTTAAATAATTCATTTATTGGGCTCAGTTTGAAGATGACTTGCCACTTGAGGGGCTAGCAATTCTTTTTAAATCGATTTGAAGTATTTCACGTTTTCATGTAAGAGCCATGGCACTTATTCAGCATCTCCACGAAGCTCTTGTGGCTTTAAGCTTTAGTAACTTGGAGTATGAAAAGAAACATTTATGTTTTTAAATTTTCTTCTCATAGTTGATAAAGTCTTCAGTTGAGCTAGTTACTCTTTTTGGTCACAAAGTCTAAAATAAAAATGTTTGGGGCATTGTTGTGGGTCACATTCATCTTAAATATTAGTACATCTCTTTAAATCCCATTTATGTGTTGTTTCTAACATACTCCAAGTGGTTAATGTTGAAAGTGCTTCCACGCTTTATGAAGACCTTATGCATATACCATCAGACTATTTATTCTGTTGTAGATATATACACACTTAATCATTTAGTTTATATCTGCTTGTCCATTGCAGTATTCTATGAAAAGGGGAGCATCACTAAAATACACACAAATATTAATCTCCATGTTTGGATCATTCCCACAGACTTTAACAACTAAGTATTCCCGCACCATGCATTTGCTTTATTATAGGCTTTTACAGATGGTAGTGTGTAAAATACAATTTATAGATTCCAACAAAGATTCCCTCATCTATTTCCTTTGTATAAAAATCTTGCATTCCTCAATCACCTGTTTTCCCAGAACATAACAGATACAAACCTTGTAGACTGGAAATAAAGTGTGTAAAATTGCTCTTTTCATGAGTAATAAGAACCTATTTCCTGAAATTACTGGACTTAATTTTTTTTTTAAAGATTTTTATTGATCGTTAGAGAGAGAGGAAGGGAAAGTGGGAAAGAGAGAGAAACATCAGTGTTTTTGATCAGCTGCCTCCTGCATGCTTCCTACCAGGGATCCCACCCGAAACCTGGGCACGTGCCCTGAACCAGCAACCTTTTGGTGCACAGGACAACACCCAACCAACTGAGCCACAGAGCCAGGCCTTAATTATTTTATTTATTTTTTATTTTTACTATAGTGTATATCCATCAGGATTCTTAGTTGCAGATAACAGAATCTACTGGAGGTCGGTTAAAAAGGAAGTTTTAAAAGATATTAGAAAGTTCATAGACCATTGAAAAGCCAAAGGAGAAGAGCAGACTGTAGGTTGGATTTTCAGAAAGAATTCTTATAACAACACCTCAAAACCGGCTGCTGCTGCCCCCCGATCATGCAGCCTCTGCCACGACCAGGGAGCTCCGTCCGCAGCAACCTTAGACTCTCTGCCGCACCGCATCAGCAAAGGGATGCCTGCACTTTATCTTTGATCATGTAACTCACGTGAACCTGTCTCTCAAGTTATTTTTCTGAACTGTAGTGGCAAAGGAGACTGGAAAATGCAGTTTTTAAAAATTCTTTGTTGAGATTTATGATTTAGGAAATTGTCAAAACGTGGCGTGGTTATAAAAATATTTTGAACCTTGATGCCCATCAATTTAAACAGAACAAGCAGAAAAACACAGGAACATGAGACTTTTCAGGAGAAAATAATTTTTCTTTATTGAATGAAGTAGGCTGGGCCAATTTAAAATTTTCATTTTAATAATGGCTTTAACATTACAAATTAGCAATCATTTTCAGGCTTTACAAAGGCCTTTTTTCCATTTTTGAGAAGATTATGTTTCTGCCTATGTGTAAATGTTGCCTTTTAGTTTCTCTACTGTAACATTTTCTGGTGGGGTTAATTTACACCTTCTCATGTGGGGAGATTCAGAAAGGAGCAAGTGTTTTGTTTTTACCTATGACCGTGCGTCATCTTTCCTGGCCCACGGGGCAGGTTCAGAGGCTCCCAGACCACTCTCAGCATTCGAGGGACAAAAGAGAGAACACACTTGTATATTCCCAGCTGATTTCAGAGTCAGCACATTTTATAATTTCTCTTCCCATTTAGGGCCAACAATTTAGGATGGGCTCATTGGCATTTTTTAAGTACATATTTTTTATTGATTGATTTTAGAGAGAAGGGAAGAAAGAGGAGAGAGAGAGATGTGTTGTTCCACTTGTTTATGCATCATTGGTTGATTCTTGTTTGTGCCGTGACCTGGGATAGAACCCGAACCAGTGGTGTCCTGGGATTACGCTCTAACCAACTGAGCTACCTGGCCAGGGCTCGGCCCATCAGCTTTTAACAATTTCTTTAAAAGCAGGTATTTCTTATACTTACTACTGTATCTTTGTTCTTTGGTGTGGAAAAGAAATCAACCAATAAACAGACTTTTTGAACACATTAAATGTGGTTAAAAACATTCTGGTTTTATTAGTCCTCAATCGCTGTACACNTTTGAACACATTAAATGTGGTTAAAAACATTCTGGTTTTATTAGTCCTCAGTTGCTGTAAAGATGCAGTCATCCTTAAGAGCATGTCCTCGTGAAGACACTGCACCCTCCATAGCAAAGAACTAACCGCACCTTGCTTTGTCCAGGACATCCTTTCAGTGCAGACAGCGACTGGGAATGGCTGCTGCGTGTTTTTCTTACACTAACACGTCAGCTCGGTGTTTGCCCTCTGGGCCGATTACAGAAATGTTATAAAAGACGTCCCTCTTGCTTTCAAGTACAAGGGTGGCTCTGGGCATGTCACACAGCCCGTGGGTATCCGATTCTCCGTTTCTCNTCCCTCTTGCTTTCAAGTACAAGGGTGGCTCTGGGCATGTCACACAGCCTCATGGGTATCCGATTCTCCGTTTCTCAAATGGAGGGCTCCGATCGGATGGCCTCTAAGTTCTCTCCAGCTCTTTGCAGTAATTCCAAGCCTCTCATTTTGTGTTCACTTAGTGAGGTGATAGGAACTTTGAAAAGTTTTTTAAACAAAAACCACTCCAGAGAAACTTCATTTTTAGTGACACGTCATCATGGTACCACAAAATATAATATTGAATAACAAAGATAGTAAATACTATTATCATTGTAAACAAAACTTTCCCCTTTAAGAAATGTTTACCGTGTTTCATGCACTAGCCTCATTGATAACACAGCATAAAAACTGAACAATAAAAATGCTTTCGTTATGGTGGTTCTTGTGTATGTGACAGAATACCCAAAGCCCTTTAAAAATAATAAAAACATGATTGTCTGACTACTATGCTGTTCACCTGAAACGAATATAAAATAATAGTGACTATAAACTGTAATTGAAAAATAAAATTTAAAGTTCTTTTTTTAAAAAAAACAATCCTTAATTGAGATAATGCTGATAATGATAGCTATTAAGGAACTTTCCCAAGGTCACCCAAGGAGTAGAGGAGGGATGCAGACCTAGATTCACGCCCTGCTCTGTCTTCCCTGTGTACTTTTTCCCTAGCAATTGACCAGGGAGCTGATTAAAACCAGGCCTCTTCCAGGCTATGCAGCCTGAATAAGCTCTGACAAACCCATGGACAGGGCTGAAAGCTGGGACGAGCCGCATTGCCATTTGCTCACTTCTGTCACCTCGCTTATCTTGCTGTTCTCTTTGTTTCCTTACTCACCAGCTCTGTGCGGGCCACAGCTGCACTGTGTTTATTTCTACATCTTCAGCACAAGGCCTCGGGCTTGGCCTACACACTCAATGAAACTTTGTTGAATGGAAGAAAGGAATGGACAGACAAACCTTAAAGTACAGGCAATTTGGGCGTAGCTCACAGCGGTTTTTTAGGTATATTTGTTTAACATGGAATACTGTAAGCAAGCATTGATTCTACAAATTGGAACTTTCTCTTTTAAGGGTTATACTGGGGATCATTCCATGGAATCAGACAGGAAATGACCAAAATGACAAAGTTGAGTAAGCTCCCATGGGAATACATAAATTATCTCATTTAACTCTCACGGCAGTCCTCCAATGTAGGTGTCGTCAGTTACACTTCACAGAAGATAGCTTTGTCTTTCTATCCTCGGGACAACACTGCTCACATAAGACTTTAGTTTACATCTGGAAAGTTTTGTTATACAGTTTTTTGGGGGGTCTTTAAGCAAGCATTTATTTAAGACCTATTATATGCTGGACAGAAAAGATACAATTATGGCTAAACCTCCTGGTTAATTCCATTCTGTAATCATTAAGAATAGATTAGTCAAATAACCAAAAATAAAATACTTCTCTCGGTTACCACTTGAATTCATTCCTTTCTTCTTCTTTCTATTATTGTCACGGGTTTCTTTAGGTGTTGAGATTATCGTTACTTTTCCAAGAGATGTTCATCGCCCCCAAGAGATGAACCAAGAAGATTTAAAAGAAAACAAGTAAGGAATATTCTTTGAAGTGTTAGATTGGAATTTAAGTATGAAATGATGCTTGTATGGCAACCTACATTTTTAGGAAGTCAATCAAAAAGAAGAAAAATATCACCTGAAAGCAGGGCTCATAATAAATATTACTGTGGCACGGCCCAGGTAAATATTTGTGGGCCACCTGGTTTCTACTGCAATAATTCATCTCTGCAGTTGTATTTTGACTGAAGGCATAGGCCATTTGAAAACAAACAGGTGTGGCTATGATTCAATAAAATGACAAAAAACAGACAAAGGTCATGGCTTGCTTTCCCTGCATTGGTGCTGCTTGAAGTGTGGTTCTGTGCTCTTTCTGTTATGGGTCCAGGATGAAGTCAGTATAAACACAAAAATTTAGACACTTAAAAAGTTGTATAGCAATTTTTCAAAGTAATGTTATGTTCATGGATCTGATAATGAAAAAAATGGAGGCTTATTTTGGATTTTCATTTCATTTTTATAGTCATTCACTTTGATAACATTTTACAAAAGTGTCAGTCCACAATGGACTGGAAAATTTAAAAACTGGCCCTTTACCAAAGATAGATTGAGGAGCCCTGGCTAGTTAATTCCTTTGGAGAAGTACAAGGGTGTCCTTGGTCACTCTGCTCAAAATAGGGACTGGGAAAGCCTGAGTGTGGGGTGCAGAGGGCAGAAGGTTCAGGGAACAAAGCTGAAGGGTGGAGAGGTCTTGTCCTTTCAGGAATGCAGCCAACCTGCTCAGCAGCACCATTTGGAAATAGTTCTCCAAATTTCCTAGAAAGCCAGGCTAGACTGACAACCAGGGATCCAGAAGACATGGGGAATGAGTTTTAAATTAAGCCATTTCCTCCTCCTTTTAGTCAGATAACCTCAGAGCATCAGGAATGGGCACAAGCACATTCTGTTCCACTTCCACATGAAACTGAGATGATGGACTTCAGAACAAAGATGCCAACCACACAGCCTTTACTCCTGAAGACAGAGGAGAGCTCCAAGGAGTCCTGCAATGAGAACCTGGGCTTCTTGTTGCCAAGACCTTGCTTAGAACCCAACATCTCCAAGTCTGTAGCCAGAGAAGATGCGCCTCACTTTTCGAAAGGCCAGCAGAGAAAATCTGGAGGTGAGTCCATTTAAATGCAGGGATTCCTTTATTCTTAGTTTAACACATGTTTGTTTATCTTTTTCTTGAGTGTTTGAAAATCTTTCTGGCGAACTCATGTTTGGTTGATGTTTATCTGTGGGAATCTTGGAGCCCACACCGAGGATGCTTTCCTGCAGGATATGAGTTTGCCGCTCTATCCAGCCCAAGACTCATGTACGAGGTAGCAGCCCTCAGGCCAGCATTTCCCCTCAGGGCAATGCTATCTTTGCTATTTGCTTACTGCTGTCCTGGACCAATGCACCAACCACCTGGGACAAACCTGTAATCCAAAAAGCTACATTTATTGGCTTATTGCAGTGAGGGAGATGGCACATCATGGGAACTGTGAGGCATCTCACCAAACAAAGGAAAAAAATAAAATTATAAGAATTAGGGAGATGGGTAGAGCTTAAGTGAAATTTAAATAAAGCAGTATTTATTATAATTAAAGTTTCTTATTGTGGCAAAATGTATATAACTTAAAAGTTACTATTTTAACTATTGAAGTGTACAGTTTAGTGGCATTAAGTACATTCACACTGTGCAGCCATCACCACCATCCATCCCCAGAATTCAGGAAAGACGGATGAGCAAATATAAAAAACAGAAGTACGAATAGCATTGCAAGACCATTTCTTCTAGCATGTACTTCCATATTTCTAAATAACATCATCATGATTTTGTTTGATTGCTCAATTTAGACCTAATCTGTTAGATTTTAACACTTTTACCTTACTCTCCTCACACATGGGAAATCCCCAATCTTCTCAGCCTTCATGTTGAAAAGAATTCAACATTCAATGTGTCCATTTTTGTGACTGGGCAAAGGACTGTTACAGCCGAGCTCACTAGCGCGCTGCGGTTTCGTTCCCTTTCCTCTGAGACCTGGTGTTGGTTCCAGTGTCATGAATGCCTCAGTCCAGGAATCCTCACCCTGTAACCGCTCCCAGTTCATTCCCATCCTGGCTGATGGACTGGAAAATGCGCCTCAGTTCAGGGGCCTGCACGCCAGGCCTCCTGTTGGTCAGCGTTGTTTCGGAGAAGCTGCTCCCGGAGCCCTGGGCCCTCGGGCCCTCTGAGCAGCTGTCTGTCTGGGCGTCCCTCGCTGTCCTCTGGAAGGTTGCCTCGGCATCCAGCTGCGTTGGGTGCTGGTGTCCCCGGCACTCAGGGTCCTCCTCGGTTTACTCCCCAGGTTCAGCGAGTGCATGTCCAGGGGCCTCCTGAGGACGTGTTGAGGATGGTTGTGCATGGTCCCCAGGTCCTCTGAGCTCTGCTTTCTTCCCGTGGCCGTATTCCCTGCCTTTCCGCACTGGAGGCGCTGCTCACATAGCCTGGGGCTTTGGCCAGCTGTCTGTACCTAGAAGGCAGCGCTAAATGTGTGGAGCGCCCAGGGCCTTGCGGAAGGGACAGTGGGCCTAGGTCGTGTCTCGGGGCGCACAGCTCTGCTCTCCTCGCGGCGGTTTCCCTAGAGAGGGAGTGGGGAGCATCTAGGCCCCTGCCTGCCCGTGCAAGGCTGGGCTTCGCCTGCCAGGCGTCGGTTTTCATTCCACCCTCCTGTTTTCACGGTGGCACCCGCATCTGCTCGCAGCTGCACCTCGCTCCTGGGCATCTTTGTTTCAAGCTCTGCAGAGGGCCAGCCTCCAGCCATCAGCCAGGACGGAGAAGAGCGGGGGCTGGGAGCCTCCTCTGCCTCCTGCCCGGCCCAGCGGGCCCTGCCCTCGGGGCTGCCCGCGCCGTCGGGGTGCTCCTGGCTCCTGGCTCCTGGCTGAGGTCTGCCCCCTGTGGGCCGGGAGCAGCCTGGAGACCTCCGAGGGCTCTTCAGTTACTATCGGTCGCACCGTCTCCCTGCCCCAAGTTTTGTTGGCGTTGCTCACCTGCTCTTCTATCCTCTGGGTTTTCGTTGTTCTTACACATTTTAAAATTCCTTTACTGCCCTTTTAGTGAGGTTTGTGAAGACAGTGGAGAAAAGCACGTTCTCTCTTTTCACTGGAATTCTACGTACATTTTAAAAGGCTTCCAAATTACCCACCAGAAAGACCTAGTGTCTGCTTCTGGCCAGAAGTGTTTGAGTGCCTCCCCACCTCGCGTCATTCCTACCAATGCTGGGTCCCATTTATCCAAATGCTTATAATAATACCCCAGAGCTGTTTTTTAAAACTCAGGAAGTTATACATATGCACCCAACTATAAATTATATTCATTTGTATTTCTGGTATTAACGTGTAGAATCTTCCCAGCAGAAAGATCTCTACCTCTAGAATATGACCTCTGTGAGGGCAAGGGTTTTGTCTTTGTGGTTCACAGTTATAGTGCCATCTTCTGGGACAGTGTTGGCCACTCAGCAGGCACTTGGTATTTATTGAATAAGTGCATAAAGAATTGGGGGGAGGTGCCCTGGCCAGCTGTGACCCTCCAGTTGGGATCCTCATCTAGGTGACCATTTTTCATCGAGAATGGCTTCTTTACCTGTTACATCTTAGGTCTGTTTCTAAGTAAAATTTTGAAATGGTAGTTGTGGCTAAAATGGACCCATAGACCTATTTTGTTCAGCCTTCAAAGCACTTTAAAAAAGGGGGGG